CGCTCTGCTTTACGATGACTGCTGTTTCTTGCTGCTCTCAGTGAAGTGTTTGACCACGTCGTGTCTCATGGGAGAATGGAGGAAGTGAAGCAGAGCACAAAATTCGACAGTAACGAAATCATTAGCATGATGCCCAACATGTACCAATCTTCACTTTTGAGGATGTTCCGCACATAATCCGTCTGTTCCCTTGTGTGGCACAATTGTTTCTGCTGTCAACTACTGGTGCACACAAAACATTGGGCCACAGAGATTTGAAGGTAGAAGGCCTGAGATGTTTGGGCTGCTTCAAGAGTCAGATATAGGCTAGGCAGTGACCTAAAGGACATTTCTTTCCAGACCATATTCACTTGACTCACATTTATGAGTACGGATAGCCTAATCTGGTCTGGAAAGGGCTCAATAAAGCCCTGAGAGTAAGCAGAAGGACTGAAAGGAGTATGGGAGGCAAGTCAGATACTGCGCCTTTCTCAAAAGATATTAGTCCTAAACACACAGGACTAACATATATGCACTATCGACGTCATGTACACGTAGCAGCGGAAACCGGGGGGCCGCCATCGCCTCTCATTCGTGGGTGCCTCTTGTCGTACCTCACAATCGGCCATTCTGTGTGTCGCATCGCCTACTTTCTCATCGTCCAGCTCTCCATCCCCATCCCAATTATTCCTCTCTGCTTCCCCTGTGCCCTCCTTGGAATGGTTGTCGTCTGTCCCCTTCCTGTCCTCGCTCCCCTCCTACCTTGTGCATCTGCCCCCCCTGCCCCTCCTCCTGCAGCCATACATGGTATGACAGCGCCGAGACCTCTGCACGGATGGGCCCGACGCAACACATCAAGATCCAGAAAACTTGGCTTCAGCACGAGTCACGCTGGGCAACAAGCCTTGACACGTTCGTGTGGCCGCCGCCCAGGCTAGCGCCCGGAGCTCTTCCAGGGGAAGAAGGACGACGCCCCGAAGCGGAGGTCTGCGATCTGGGGGTCTATAACCTCGTACACCGGTCAGCGCTCGCTGGCCTTTTGTGGCCGAACTAAAGCAAGTGAGTGGAGGAGCACCTGTCTGAGATCTGTCTGTCGTCGTCTGTCTGTCTGTCTGATCGTCTGTCTGTAACCTTCTGTCAGGAGTACTGCAGGTGCTGAGTGTTCTAGGTGACCTCAAGTTTCACAGTAAATAGTACATGTGCCCGACACAGCCATGAATAGGACTGTTCGTTTAAGCTTAAACAGTCTAAATCTATCCCACAGATCACACCAGCGTAGGGGTGTTCAGGTTCGCCGACAAGCATAGACTAGGTCAGGGTGGGCCGGGGCCGCCCAGCGTAGGGTTGAACGAGGCCGCCCAAGATATTTCGCGACCACATTTAGTTTGTTGTTTGTTGTTTTTAATAATATCTTTTTTTATAACGTTTTCTTTTTATTCGTCCCTTGACAGACGCAGGCGCCATCTGCGATCGATTAACTTGTGCAATGATCACCTCGTCCCTTGCTCGATCTCTGTGTTATTTTCAATGGAGGGCTACAAACACGCAGAGAGCAGTGTACCCACCTGAGCTGAGGTTTATCCCAAGCTGAAGACACACCAGAGAACCCATCAAGGGCTTGATTATCACGTTGACAGTGCCATTCGGCAAGGCACAGGCATCATGTAGACAGCAAACCCTGTGTGACAGGCACTACAGGCCAGAAGAGGCGAGATCAGAGCAAGGAGCGAGGCATTGCCACAGCTTAAAGCGATCGCAGATGGCGTCGTCCGTCAAGACGAATAAAAAGAAAAGATAAAAAAATATTATTAAAAAAACAACAAAAAAAAAACAAATGGGTCGCGAAATAACTTGGCGGCCGTTAAACCTGGGCGGCCCGCCAAGTATAGTCTATGTGTGGAACCCTGAAACCCCTAACAGGTGATCTGTGATGATTTAGAATGTTAAGCTAAAGAACAGTACTCATGCTTGTCGGACAAATGATAATTATCTACTGAAAAAATTAGTCCTAAGTAACTCAGCACCCGCAGGTACCCTGCAGACAGACAGACAGACGACAGACAGACAGACAGACAGACAGACAGACAGACAGACAGCCCCTCCCACATCACTTGCCTTTAGGTGCTGCCCATCAAAAGGCAGCGAGCAGCGACCGCGTGTAGAGGATGACCCCCCAGACCCAGACATCCCCCTCGGGACGTCGTACCTCCCTGACAGAGCTCCGGGCGGCATAGGCGGCGAGCACAGAAGTCAAGCTTGTTCCCACGTGACTCGTTGCTGAAGCCAAAGTCTGCAACTGGATGTGGCGTCAGGCATCAGCAAAGTTCTCCCTGATCAATACATGTATGGATGCAAGAGGGGGGGGGGGGAACAAGAATCACAGCGGAGAGGGCGAGAGGACAGCGAAGGGGACGAGAACAACACATCCAAGGAGGGAAGGGGAAGCAGAGGAGCAATAATGGATGGAGGACAGAGGAATGAGAAGTAGATGGACACAAGAAGGGTTGTGAGGAAGAAAGAAGCCGAATGAGAGGCAGATGGGGGGCGTTCCAACATAGCTACTGTCATGAGTCATAGTGTATATATGTTGTCCCTGTGTGTGTTTGGCAATAACTTTTGAGAAACGGAGAGAATCTGACGCCTCATACCCTTTTCAAGCTTCTGTACTCATCAGGGCTTACTGAGCCTTTTCACAGACACAGATTAAGACTAGTCCCAGATGTAAAATGAGTCTGTAATATGTCAATGAAGAAATGCCTAGTCCTGACCTAGCTAATCCAGCTCTCTGAAAGCAGCGCCAAACATCTTCAGAGCTTCTCACCTTCAATCTCTGTGACAATGTTCTCGGTGGCAAGTTACAGCAGAAACAATCGGAACACAAAGGAACAGACGAGTTATGGACGGACAATCAAAAGTGAAGATTGGTAATGTGGCATCCATAGGCATGAATGTACCTGCGAAATATTGCTCTGGCTTCACCTCCTTCATTCTCGCCATGAGACACGAGTGAGGTCAAACACTTCCCTGAGACAGCAGAACATCATCCAGTCAGAAAAGACGAAGCTAATGCCATGCCATTATTTGAAATATTACACGGACATGTGCTCTCATGGTGTCAACTTCGACTTTTTCAATGTTCTCAATTGGGAAATACGCAGTTCTCCTTAGATGTTATATTTACATCATAAATTATATTTAAGTGAAGCTACACCAGATAGCTAGCTCTAGCATAAAGACAGTACCAGGGGGAATAGCAATGTCTACAATCCAAAAGGTACCAGTGGTGAACTTTCTGTGTGTTCTTGTACTTACTATTATGTTATGCGATCAACTACACAACCTTTTGGAGGCTAAAATTTATACTATTTGCAACATTTACCTAACAGCTTAGTTACTTACAGATAAGATTATTATCTAAAACAAAATATAATCAACTATAAAAAGAACAATAACATATAATTAACGGTCAGAATCCAGCGGCAGAAATAAAATAATTAAAATAAGTCTTGTGATGCATCCATACCATAATCCACATATATTCTAATCGAGCCCTATGCTTAAAGGTGGGTGGTAAGTTGAGCACCGCTCGAGAACACTTTTCTTAATATCCATGGAGCCTAACATCCGAAAGCATGAATATCTTTTAAGTACTGAACAAATCAATAAAAAATGTCATTCGTGGGAACCGTAGATGTAAAAGCACGACCAATCATTTAGCGGCTGACATTTCAAAATTCTAGCGCACTCGAGCTGGTTCTCAAATACTACCAACATTTAACAAACACTGTTTGTTACTGAAGTATATTTTGATGCCAATACTTGTACTAACTTAGAACGATTTTGAATACAGGACTTTTCTTTTTGCAAGGTCCAAATAAATAAACTAAACTATAAAATTATGAAAAATGCACATAAATTTCCCTGTTGAGCTGCATTTGTTAATGGATGTATATAACTGAATAGTATTTTATGGTGAAGGATTGAACCCACCTCACCTGCGTACTCCATTAAGTAAAGGGTCCATCGTCTCAATCACCTCGAACACTGCACTGTAACACAAAACAGAATTCAATAAAACCATACATCGCACAAATCCGCCAAAAAAACATAGCACAGCAGTCTGTTNAATTAATTCGTTTTCTCAACATTCTACACACAATACCCCATAATGACAAAGTGCTTTATTTTTAATACATTTGCACAAATTATTTTAAAACTTTTTTCACTTTGTCATTATGGGGTATTGTGTGTAGAATGTTGAGAAAACGAATTAATTGAATCCAAATTGAAATAAGGCTGTAACATAACAAAATGTGGAAAAGGTGAAGGAGTATGAATACTTTCCGGATGCACTGTGCATGTCCCTCTGTGAGGGAAACTAGAAAACAATAAAAAGTTGTTCAGAAAAAAAGAAACCCACAAACTTAAGCCCTTCTACAAAGAGGTCAGCGTGCACACCCACTGATCCCCGCTGAGGTTGGCTGATTTTGTTGAAAAAAGCCAGCTCAGAGTCGCTGCTTCACCTTCACTCTGAACAGCAGAGGGGAAGTTCCCTCCTAGTACATAACGTAAACTTGGCTCCAATAAAGGCATCCGTTGGCACCTCGGTGGACAACAGGAAATCTTTGTTTATCGCAAAACATCCCGTTGTTGGCCTCAGGGTGTATGACCCTTCATGCTGTACGGCGGCAGAGCGTCATATAGCAGCCGCAGTGTTTACTGAACAAAGCTGCCGTATCCTTAAGATAAACAATGAAGGCATGAAGTATGGGTGTATATGTAGTTCTGCGTCAGACCCGCAGGACCCCGTCTGTTTGTCAAAGTGCCTTTTGGTATGTATTGTTTAAAATAACTGTAGACTTCGTGTCTGACTCCCCTATGTTCAGGGGCCACAACACCTAAAGATAGAAGTAGGCAAAACAAATACAATTCATTGTATAGTACCGTATTAATTCCAAGAGCTGTCAAAACTGTCACATTATGAAGACAAAACTTGAACACAACGTCAGAGCTCTTGAATCTGTTTAGTCGACCCAGTCAATGGGTTTTTATTATGTTTCCAGCAACAGATCCATTTCATTCACAGTGAGAGTTCAACACATTTCCATTTCCATACACGACTACATCCTTACATACATTAGGGCTATATACCAGAGAATGGGTATATGGTTGGGTAAATACATGTTAAACAGCAGAACATCCTAGATCTCTTTTATTGCATCTGCTATCAGTTGATTCTACAATGATTTGGGGGAATACCAGGCTAAGAAAGACTAAAGAAGTTACATTTTGAGAATATTTAATAGACTATCACTTTTGTTTACTTCTGTAGATCGACATAAAAATACAAGAAACCATGGTGATTATTATGGTACAGTCAGTTTCACATTTCCATTAAAAATGCACATCTGGAGATGGAGAAAGTCAGTGAGCCTGTACAGTACGAGCAGTACCTGAGGTCAAGTTTTTGGTATCAATATTTGGTACAATCAGTTTTTGGTCAAGGTGCATGTACATCTCATCACTATTTTCACATTATATCTGTGAATTCTCTCCTAACATAAACACCAACAGCTAGTCTTCTCTGTGAAGTTTAGTTATGTCTTCCATATTCTTGGCAGGTTGAGGTGTTGCATTTCTGACACTTGTCCTGCGGATTCGCCTCGGGCGGTGCTCTGAGAACCAGTTGGAGACGGTCATGGCAAGGCGGAGGAATCCCAGGCTGATGCAGTGCACCTGTGAGGTGAGTGGGATGTCAGAAAAGAGGGCGTGGTCCCTGCACATGAGGGCATTGCTGCATTCAAAGTCTTTGACAATGTTGAGGATCTCCTGGCGCTCCGCCTGGCGCATCATCCCTCTGATATTCAGCAGGGTGGAGACGTGCTTCTTCCTGTAGGGAGGAAGGATACAGGGAGGAAGGGGGGTAGACGGGTGTTAATGGAAATTGGCTCTGTTTGGTGTTGCCAAAGGCTGTCATCAGTTTGAGCAACAGTCACATCTCTCTAAGTAATAGCATCTGTTTCTGGGAAGTAACAGAACATTTGGTACCACTTTGGTACAAGAACATCTAATTGATCTATTCACCTCATTACCCAGCCCCTTTACCCACTTGCGGTTCAAATGCTTTCATGTAAGTTCTTCCAGTTTAGCATCATTGTTTAAAATGATTTTTATTTGGACACATTTACAGCTAGACTGTGGCGACGGAATGGTTTTTACCTCCATATTCTGTAAGTGGCTGGCAGAATTATCCTTTAACACCCTATGGTTAGACTTGCAGTGCAGACCTGTGACGTTACAGCAGTGAGTAAATATAAAAACCGTTGTTTTTATAGCCGCCAGTCTGCTCTGATACAGCTAGCAGCTCCTAACAGCTCCAACCTGTAAATTCTCGAAGATGCGTTTTTTATGATATGATAAAAAATGGTTAGTGTCTCGCCTGAATAAGTGTTTTTACTTAAAGGTCCCATGTCATGCTTTTCTGGTTATTACCAGTCCCCTTGTGTGTTATGTAGCTTTTTCTGCATGTAAACGGTCTGCAGAGTCACAAACCCTCAAAGTACACCCTGTAGCGAGTAAAACTCTAACACAGAAAAGACCTGTCTATGCTGCCCCAGAACGCCTCGTTGGAGATTTCTCATTTTCCATTGTTTACTTCTTGGGTATAGTGACGTATTTGGGTATAGTTACGTTACGTCCGCGGAGCCGTTACGTTTGGACCAATCCGCGGACTTCCTCCCACACACACACTCGGCGGGACGTTGCGAGGCTCGCAGCTGCGAGGAGCGAGACAGCGAGACACTGCGGAACTCAGCCTTCGAACACACACAAACTCCCAGCCAGGCTGCGGGTGTGTGTGTGTTTCGGGCTGGGTTTCGCTGTGTCTCGCTGTCTCACAGACGGCCACTGGGCTCACAGGGAAGGGGGGGGGGGTTAGGAGCTCCAACAAGCTGTTTAGGACAGAGAGTGAATACACATACTATACAGAGATGCTGTATTTTAAACCAATGTGAGTTTGGAAAATTGCACAATATAAATCTATTTTAGCATACTTCAACAATGGAATTATGATCAGTAGAAATGGCCATGACATGGGACCTTTAATAACAGTTCATTCAAAAGCCAAAAAAATGGTTCTTTGGCAAGTAACGTTGATAAAGCTGGCAACGGCATAACAAAGTAATAGCACTTACGCTCTAACAGGGAGTACCAACACATATTAAGGCAGTGTGTAAGCGCCCTAGCATTAGCAGGCAAAGCATTAAGTAAATAAAGCATTTGTAAATTGTTTGAAGATAAATCTATTGGCATTTAAGTACATATTTGGATACGTAGGTAGGATCTCTGTTTAGAGGATTCAATTGTATGCCCGTGTGTATGCGCACATGTGCATGAATGGAGGCTGGCAGTCTTTGATCTCCTAAAATACCAGCAGGGGATACCATACAGTAAACAGAAGGGGTGAGTCAAGCAGTGAGTTAGCATGTCCGTTCTGAACTTCTATGTTTTTCTCTCCTCTTCCACACCTCTCCCTCTTTGTGGCACCAGTCTGTCTCCTGCAGGGTGGCAGGAACAGGAAGTACTCGGCAGCAGCTTCCTGTCTGCTCCGTGGAGGGTTATGCGTCACATGCGGCCGTAGGTTGACAACGGTCACCTTAATCTGTGCACAAACAGCCCCCCTGCCCCCTCACTCCCAAAGGCCTCCCGGCCACATCCATTCTCAAAACAGACCCACACTCGTCTCCAAATATAGCAACGTTAATGTACGCAAGATATGGTTCCACGCTCCTTTTCCTTGTTTTGATCCTTTGTGACCAAAAAAAGCTAAAAACAAAACATACCTAATCTGACTTTTTTCCTTGCTAAGTGCCAAAAACAGAGAACTGTGAAAATGCAGCAATAAGCATAAAAGAAAATAGGACCTTCGGGGGTACAGTAGAGAGAAAATCTGTTTTTATAGATGCTTCCTGGTTGCAAAATAATAGTTCCAACACTGTCACTTTGTTAGACCTTACCGTATATCTGGAAACTCTTTCACTAGGACAGCGACTTCCATCTGGATGGAGGGAGTGTCCTCCAGGAGGATGATGTCAGCTAGGTGGCAGATGACGCTGTCTAACCAGGATGAACTTGATTCCTGAAGCAGAGTGTAGAAAAGCAGAGGACAAACTGTTTTATTATTGTGCAACAGATGTTTTCCTTACCATAAGGAAACTTAAAATGTATCGATAAATTGGAATCTGTTTGGAAATGTGGTCAACTATACTGCATTCGTAAACACTGTTCATCAAAAGGTTTCTTTTAAAGATAAGGCATGTCTACCCGTGAACAATCAACCCTTCAGGGGAAACACAGATTAATATCGTTAAAGGCCAGAGGCCAAACATTAAGGTGATTTACTGAGTGAAAAACAAAACTCCACCTCTGTTTTTCTGGGTCATGTTTTTCTTCAAACACTCAGGAAAAATAAATTCTTTGGCTTGGCATGCACTAAAAATAACGACGTCTTTTTTAGACAGGCATGAACCCCCCCCCCCTCTAGTTTCCACAGACACTTCATCCCGCTCCTCTGCGCAAAAAGGCCATCAAGGCCATCCCAGAGCCACATCAAAGCTGGCCAGCTGACAGGAACAGGAAGTTCCTTCTGAACACAGCAGCTTCCTGTTGTCAGCCGAGGTGACGGACACTTGTTTGAACTCGCTCACAGAAAGGGGGCAAATGCCACGCTGTCAGGTCTCGTTGTTTTACACCCTCTTCCCTCCTCTGACGAGTGCTAACGTAAGCCTGCTTCATCCATCTCCATCTCACTGACGGCAGCCATTTTTCAGAGCTCAGTCCTGTATCAACAGTGTGAGTTATTCCTGACCTCGGAAGTTAGGGGGTCAGGCTCCATTTACAACCAACAGACTCTGCACTCCCGGCGCCAGCTCTGCTCAGTGTTTTTGAGAATCAGCATATTGGAATTATATACAATGCTCAGCATCTCCTGAGAAGCAATTATTAGCTCTGTTTTGTTGAAATGGGTTTTGGTCTCCTTCTAGAACCTTACTGTACTTTGCCACACTAAAGAGTTAAATCCGACTTTAAAGACAATGTCTGAATAATTTATAAATGTAATGTTTTGAGTGAAGTCCAGACTTACCAGATCCTTAAAGAGTCCTTTGAGCTGTTTGGCTTCATCTTGCAGACGGAAAGCCATCCTCTTTCTCATTTTGGAGGATGTGCAGATTATCCGTCCCCTCATGATGGCGCGGACATACTCCACCAGGACCCGCCGGTGCACCTCTCCCACCAGCGTCTGTCAGGCGTTCAGAAAAACAAATCACTGACATATCACCTTCTGTTACATGTAACCTTTTAACCCAAGTTTTTTATTATTTTATCAAAGAAATGTTACCTGGTAAGGTGGAGGGTCCATCCTCCTGAACTTCTTGAAGTGTTGTTTGATGCTGGCTTCGATGGCCTCAAAGGCCTCCGTGTTGTTCAGCCATTTCCTCTTTATCAGTTTCTCCAGGAAAGGCTGAGACAACAACACACAAGTTCTGTTTAACAGAGTACGACATCACAGTACATTTACTCAAGTTAAGTGCAATGTAAAGGTAATTTACTTCGACTCAATTAAAATTCTTTATTATCACCAAAAAAGTAAAATTGAATGTAATAAAATTATCCAATGGCTGTAGTTACTTTGTAGAATGAGATTTTCATATAAGATATTAATCATTACTTAAATCAAGCTATAAACAACTAAATGCTGCTTACAGGCTTTTGCAGTGACTGTAATCAAATAATGAACATGTAATGCTGCCGGGGGTCCTTAGGCTTCATCACTGCAAAATGTAATACTTATCTTTACTTCATTTGAAATGAAACATGTTTTCGGTTTCCCTAACTGTTGGAGTTGGCAGGCACATAACTCAATTGGTACTGACATTAGTACATTTTTACGTTGTAGGATTGCTACTTTTACTTATTTAGTGATCGGAACACTTTTTCCAGTTCTAAACAGCAGACATGGATCGTTTGAAATTGAGAAACCCACATATTACTTTCTGTTTCAATAAAAAACGGTTACGGGATTTTTTCAAATGTGTCATCCCACTGGTACGTTGTCATATTTCCTGGCCATGAAGAATTTGCTTGTGTCTTACTCACCTTGATGTTCTCGAACAGCCTTTCTGTCAGCACCCTCACTGACTGGTTGATGATGCGGTCCAGGGAGGAGTTGGCTCTCTGTGCAGTGTCCTCGCTGCCCTGTGGGTCACACTGCCTGCAGCGCTCCACTAAGGATCTACACAGGAGACATGAAGCTAAACCTTCAGAAAATGACTGCAGACAAATCCCCAAATGTATATTTCTAGCTCAATAAAAAATATTTTGTCTACCTGAGAGGAGGGCAGCAGTTGACCACAGATATGGTTCTGGACACATATCCGTCACCTCGTTCTCCGAATTCTTCCTGAGTATCATGAAACATCTCCACCTTCCTCTGGAAACTGGACAGAGTTTAAAAAAAAACATGCTGAATGCTAAAACAATAAATAAATGGACACTCCTGTCCTGTCCTGTCAAAACACTGCTTAGGATTGAAGACATCCTTAAATCAATAAAAATACCAGCATATTAAATAAAGGCCTGATTAGATAAAGAATAACAAATGTATTATTTTTAGTAAATGCAGATCACACCATTTTTCACACCAAATGTACAATTGAGTGCAATTATTTCACCTTTGTAATAATAATAATAACACTCACTAGTAGAGAAAGTCAGCCAGACCAACGAGACTGCAGCGAGCCACTCTTGCCCCCAGAAACTGGTTCACAGATGTAGATCGGTCCAAGTCCACCTTCAACCTCTGGAATAGTGAAATACATTAGCGGTAAAACAGCTGTTTCCTAGGCTAAAAAGAAATTTACTAAAATCCCCAGTGAAAACAACATGTGACCTGTACCTGGATGACTGAGCGTGCCAGGTGGGACTGATACTCCTCTATGTGCAGAGTCTGGGCCCATCGTCTCTCCTCCTCATCCAGAACCTGAATCAACTCTATTGTCACCTTCTCCTGAAAATCACAGAGTAAAATATAAATGTGAATCCAGATTTTCAACAAAAGAAAAAACACAGCTGTGTTGAGGGAACATTTCTTACCCTGACGATGCTGATGCAGTCTTCCTCCAGCCTCTGCACTGTGTCTTGGGGCAGAATGGGCTCCAGTGGAGAGTAGTTGATGGGTGTCTTTGTCCCGATGGTTCCCAGCACATCCCTGGTAGAACATTTGAAATAATTTCTAAACCAGTCCAGTTTCCATGTTTGTTACAGTTGAATACATCATCATTGCATATGGATGTCCACAGCCTTACCTGTTGTAGATGTTGTAGAACCAGTCCAGTAAAGAGTAGACATCGGTGATCTGCAGCGGTCCGCTGGTGATGCTCCGAAGACGTTTGGCCACGGCGCGATGGTAGCTATCCACATACACCTGGAAAGCAGCAAACTCCTCTGGGTAAATGGACACAGCATTCCTCCTCGCTGCGTCCAGGTCATCCACCATGCGAGTCCTCAAGCGTTCCAGGTATAAGGCGAGCTGACCCGCCTGGGTGTCCACCTCATGGGGCAGGCTCCAGTCTGCGGCCTCCATCACAGCCTGCCTCCACTTCAGCTTCAGTTTCCGAGGACGATGGCTGGAATGGATCTGGAGACCTTCTTGCTCTGGCTTGGTTACCTCTCTCAGGGCCCAGGTAGCATCGGCATGCTCCTCCTGTTGGATCACCAGCACCACCAGCCCCAGGTTTGGACCCGCACTGGGCTGGCGGAGGGACTCCCGCACAACGTCCCACATCTCTTTTTGCAGGGCCTCATACAGGAGCTCCACGTCCTTTGCCTTCCGCACGCCTGAGTCCAGTGTTGCGTTGGAGCTGAGGGAGTCGTCTAAGGATGAGGACGATAAGGTATTCATGCCAGGAGGGGTGCTGGGAGAAAGAGTTGGAGTAGGGGTGGAACTAGTTGTGGTTGTAAGGTGAGACAGCAGCTCACACTCGCGCTCCAGCTCCTGAATGTGTGTGTCGGCCAGGAGAAGATCCCTGTGGTTGACCAACTGCAGGATCTCTAGTACTGTGGGCAGCAAGAAGAGAAAACACAGCTATTTTTATTTGTCACAAAATTAAGGGTTAACTAACAAACTGGGAAAGGATGTCTTTTTTTCTTTATTGAGTGGTGTGCATGTGCCTGACTGACAAACAGGGCTATTTGTTGCTCATCCTGCACACTCTTCTATTCCTATAGGTCCCCTGTGGAGTTTGTGAACAGTAGCTTGGTTGAACTTCTATCTAAAAGCAACCTGGGGTTGGAGGAAGTGTGGTCATTTCCTGGTTCACAGTCTGGTGGTGATTGAACCCAGTGACTCAGGGACCTGGGGACCTCTCGGCCTCACGAGAGAGTTGTCTAGGATTGGAGGAAGTGCTGCTGAAGCTTAACCAGGAAGAGCTATGTTCTCCAATGTAATGGGAACTCCTGACAAAAGGTGTGTTTTTTTTTAATCAGGACCTGGAGTGTTTACACCTGATGCTTCCTTGATTGTTACCTGAGAGGGGCTCTCTGGTTACCACCACTGGCTCCTCCTCATCTGTTTCCTCATCAGCCTCTTGGGATGCCTTGTCTGACATGGACTCCCTCTTCAGCTTGCCCAGACTCACCATCCTGAGGAAGGAGGGCTGCCTGGAAGCGTCCGCCTCGCACTCTGTGCTCAGGTTTCCGCAGGGCAGGCTTTCTCTGCGCTCTTCCTTACGTCGACCTGTGAAGCTGAACAGTGCAGAGCAGCAACCAACAACATGAATGACTGCAGCAGAAAAGACACAATGATTCTTAACATAAAAGGGTTACTTCCATACATCGCTGCATCTATGGGACTTGAGGCTTTATTGTACTCTACACAGTATGCTTGGAATGCAGCACACATCTGTTAAACCGTGCGCATGCCTTGGTTAAATATAGTCCCTTTGAGTAAGCAAGTCATCAACATATCAGGGTAAAACAAAAGAGGTAATGCATATTACATAACTCCTCAGGAAATAAGCTAACTATATATTCTATTCTATAACAGTCCACGGGAGTAATAAGGGATTTTCCTTCTCTCACCCTCTCCTCTGGGACTTTGAGGCTAATTCAACACACTATAAAAACTGCTGTTGTGCTACCATTCAAAAATGCCTTGACTCGCTTATGTGTCTTTCCTATCATAGTTACATCACTCCTTTATTTGGATTCTGATTACCTTTCATTGATGTTTTAGGATATTATTAGTTGTTTTTTAAACGATCTTGCTTTTTTTTGCAGACAACCTTTATTCTTATCTTTATTCTACTCCATCAGAGAATGGTTGATGGTGGATTGTAGCGGGGCCCTTACAAAAGCATTACAAATGCATTTCCCTTTTTAATCTTAAGAAATTAGTTTGACGCCCAGTCCCAAACTGTTCAATCAGCTCCCCTCTTACAAAAACAGTTTCTTCCTGTCAGCAACTGGCCTCGTTAACAAGGCCCCGGACCACCACTGAAAAGGATTCCCAACCCCTCCCATAGACACTATGCCTTACATTTACACACATCATCAGAAATACTGCGAACCTTGCACGTTCCTTTGTATATGTTGTACTTTCCTGTTCAATGCTTCCTATTTAAAACCACACTGTTTTCTTTTTTAAACTTAAAGTAATTTGTCATACTTTTCTTTAATTTGATTTCCTTTTATACATTTATTTAAAACAAATTAAATACATTTTTATGAATTGTATATATTTCTTTAAAAGTCTATATTCACTCCTTTTTTACACCCTCATTCGTTTGCTGTGTTTATGTATGCAACGTTATACACTAAAGCAAATTCATGCGTAAACCTACTTGGCAATAAACCAAATTTCCGATTCTGATCCTAATTTGGTTATTTGTGTTTACACACTATATATAACAATAATACCTTATACAACTTTCACTCATTCTGTGTGCACTCCAAAAGAGTATCCTCCACAGCTGCAAATGTCTTCTCTTTGTTTTAGAACTTCTTTACAATTCATTGACCTACAGCTAGCGGCTAAAATGTTTTGTCCCCCCCTCCCCCTCCTCACCGGAGCAGGGACATAATTCCTTCAGAGCCCCTGCGCAGTCCTTTCCTTTTCTCCCTCTCTGGTGGGAGACTGTTTGAGTTTCCAGGGCTGAAGTGAGGGGAGTTGCCCCCCCATACATTGCGTCCCGATATGCGCAGCCCCTTCCCCAGTTTTCCCAGGGTTTTAAGCGGCGACACTCCACAGATCCGCTCCAGGGTCCCCCTTAAGGGCTTCCCTTTAGGGTTCCCCGCCCCGTGCCTCTCTGCGTTCACCTCGTTCTCCTCCTCTTCTCCATCGCGGGTGGACCTCAGCTGGAGGTTCCCCCTGACCTCCCCCATGAAGAGGCCCATGTCACCATCCTTCCTCTCATCCTCATTCAGGTCAATGTCCTCGAAAGGGTTTAAGTTCTTATTCAGCTCCTTCAGGTCGTTCAGGTTCTGGAGGTCCAGGTCCAGCCGGGGCAGGATCAGCTCTCCATTCGCTCGGGGGAACTCCTGGGAGCTCTTGGACCGTCCCGGGAGCTTCTTCAGAATCGGCATTGTTGTACTTGAGAGTTTACCAAACTGCCAAACAAGGACAACGTCAGATTTAGTCATAATGTTCATTATTAGCAAGGTCAACTACACTGAAAAACTGAAATGTGACTTTAATTACATGTATTATGTCAACAGATTTCACATACCTGCATTAGGTTAGTTGAAAAATAACATTAAGTTGAACCTATTTCATATTTTTTATTCAAATGTAATATTATTGCTTTCAATTAACCTAATAGAGTTGTGTGAAAACATAATACATTTAATTAAAGTCAACGTTTCCGTTTTCAGTGTATATTAGCATCTGCTTATCAAATTAACTTCAGAAATAATGCTTGCTCAGACTCTATTAGGGACTTTTTGGTCATTTATAACATGACACATAATCCTGTGTGGCAACACTTACACCACAGAGCTTTAATAAGCAGGATATCCTACAAAATACCTGTAAATCCCTGTGCAGAAGACATGTCTCCATCCTCTCAGTGTATCGGAAATTGAACTTGTGGAAAACTTTTTCTGCTGGTGCACCAGCCATCAGACGGTTTATATATAGTTGGAAGCAAAAACATCCGTTCACATGATGGTTATGCAAGGCACTTTACTAAGTCAATAAGGAAATATGTATTCAAAATATTTCTGCCTGTTCACATGCTGAACAACAGCTTATATAAATATTATAATAGTTAATATTATAAGAATTAATGATGTGTGTCTTTCTCCTGCTTATTGGAGGAATGTGTGAATCCATTTTAGAAATCACATGAGCCCAACTTTAATAAAAATAGATACTCAAAAAGCACAAAACAAACACAATTATATGCATCTCAAGAGACGTTTGGGGTCAAATAATCACAAAAGAAGGTGAAACCAGTCAGATGATGCCAAAATATTCCTTGTTGGAATGTTAAATATTGAATCTCAGTCGTACTTGCTATACCACCCTGCTCAACATATAATGATTATTATAAATTATAGAAATAATGTCCTGTTTTCACATTAACAACTACATGTTCTGATTCACATCAGAATTGCTCTGCTTCAAAGTCTTTATGTACTTAAAACATATTTTGTTTTCTGTGCTTCAGCTAAATCCTGAGTTACCATTATTTGCATAAATGCATTCCAACCAAAGCTAACATAAATCTGAGTTTGACAAACCAAGTGATCATTTCACTATTCATCTCTATGTTTCAGCAAACACTGTTCAAAGAAGACAGACTTGTTTTACAAGCTACAAGCTACACTGTAGCTTTGGATGAGTGTCAGACGGAAGTCTGGTGTTAGCTTTAAATGTAATCTCTTCACAACACAAGCACAGGAGGATTGATTACATCCAGTTTCAATTTACAGTAAGTGCGCATGTAAGAGGCAAATGAAGCTATCATTTAAATTAGTGTTTGACATTAGAGAGCTTAGTAGTCACAACATCTCCGAAACACTTGATATAAAGCATTTGAAACACTAGATGTTATCCAAAAAATAACGATAAATAAAGTTTGACTAATAATACAAAAGCATTATGTTTACGCCTCAACTCATCAATTTAGAAATAATCTTAGGGTGTGGGAAATTAAATATGCTGTATTTCTCTCTCAAATAGGGTATAGCAACAAACTAAAAATGTCTTAGCATTTGAATGTTTAGGTCACCATGTGGAGAGATATAAATGTATCCATGACAAATAGAAGAGATGGAATTGTTATTTTGATAAAAGCTGATCTTCTTCAAAATGACTGCCATGAAACAGACCTCAGACCTCTGAGTGTCCCATTTCCACATCGTTCAGGTTTGGTGATCATCTCTGTGTATTTGTCTCTGTTAATATAGAATCTGGGAGCAAACTCTTTAAAACTCAACATCAGCATCAGCTAGACATCTTCTCATTGCTGTATAAAGGTAACTCATCTTCTATACTGCTCATCAGATATCTGAATGGTGGAGGACAGGGAAACACTTGATGGTTGTAAAAAGGTTTACAACCCTTTTCAAGCAAAACAGTTCCTTGAGAGAACAAAAGGTGACATGAAGAAAGCAGACATTATGAGGGCCTCTTCGTCATTATAGAACAATTCAAACAATTCAGCTCTCATTATGTTCACACACTTAGTAATCTAAAGTCTAACCAGGATTGGGACAATCACCTTTAAATGTGAGTTTCCACCCTATAACGTAAGTGCAAGTGTGATTATTTTCAGTTATAAGACCAACACTTACACCATGTTTTCCTATTTCTATCAATGCCAAGTACTGTTTCAAACCTATTTCAAGAACACAAAAAGTCAAGGCACCAATTTCTGTAAGGACAATTAGACTGAAAATGTCTAAACGCAATCATTTCCTACAGAGAAACATTATAATATTGAACATTGACATTAATAATGATGATGATAATTGATGTGGCCAGGGAAAAGAAAGTTTGGGGCTCTCTGCTGGAACTGCTACCTCCGCGACCCGACCACGGATAAGCGGGAGAAGATGGATGGATGGCATGGACATTAAAATTAATGGTAAGTAACTGAGTGAAAGATCAAAACCTGTTATTTCCATGTAGCCCAGAATGAAAATAAAAGCATCACATTTCCAAACTGAAACACTGATTTGAGGAATTACCATGATGAGATGCCTTGCAGTTTCAGATACAATGTCATCCTGGAGTGTGCTGGCGAGCGGGCTGCCAGCTGTGGACGCTGTGGATGTGTGCCTATCCCCCTGTGTGCCCTGAGAGTACTCAGTGACTCAAGAGAGCAATGTGGCTGCCTGTGGTTTCCTGACGGCCTCTATTGTGGTGGAAGGTGATATGTTTTCCTGAGGAAAGGCCCGTCCTGTCCTTTCTCCCCCTCCTGTGCCACCGACCCTCCAACCCCCTCCGCACCCCCACGTCCTGCACCCTGGGGACCCTTCTAATTAGGCTAATTGCATTAACGGTGCAGTTTAGGATACAGAGCATTCCTTTGCAGTGTTTAAAGTTTTTATTAGCTCTACACACCCTGTCTGTCTGTCTGTCTGTCTGTCTGTTAATGTGTGTGTGTTTAAGTATATGTGTGTATGTGTGTGTGATTTCTGTTAGAGGAAGAAAAGGAACTATGAGGATGATTCAGTGTCCACGGCCTTGAGTTTTAATCCCGTTGGTACGCCATCAGCCCGTCATCTTCCTCAGCGGAAGACCTTTAATGGACTAATCCCAGTTAAAATGCCCATCAACTCTGGTGCGGTCGCTATATTGTCTTTGCTTTACTGCAGAGCTTCAAGGTCACTAAAGGAATGGCAGAGCTCTAATGTGACTCAAAGAACAGAACCGTAAAGCTGAGGGATTTACGAGAGGAGTGTGTGCGTCTGCACTAATGGCTCAGTGCTGTATTGTGCAATTAAAAAAAATAATCAAGCAAAGAAACAAATCAACAACGTAAGAACTGCTCTGGTGAACAGTTCCCAAACACAGCTGAACTCTGTGGCCCCAACATGCCACCTAGTGGCGGCACCTGGAATGTGGTTGACATTCACCTGGATCCATCTTTGTTTATATTGTTCACATTATCTTTTTATTTTTTATTGATTATGTTATAATTTGTATCTATTGCATGTCCTTCCTGGGAGAGGGATCCCTCCTCCCCAAAGTAGAAGTAGTAGTAGTAGTAGTAGTAGTAGTAGTAGAGTCAGAACAGAAGGTGTTGTATGCTGGACAAACTTGAACCCACCCTGAGATAAATGTGTAATGGGATATTAAGCTTTTTTAAATGTTTCTTTTGTAAAGGAGTATTTATTGATTATTTATGGTATTGCGGCAGAGATAGGTATCCAGCTGGAATCAAACAGGAATGCTGTGAATGTGGTTGTATGGTGTATCTGATGAGAGGTTCAGTGTGTATGAAGCTGTGATGACTGATGCTTGAAGGTCTTTCATGGGCCGATTCACTGTATGTGGGCGGTATGGGTACACTGAAGAGTTCCTGCGGTCAGCAGAAATATAAAACTTAGAATTTGCTTAAAGGTTGATTTGAGTTTCTTTACACAGCTTCTCAATTACACAATGGAATAGATTTGTTCACCTGTAACTTTAGAGAGTGTTCTAATACCTTATCCATACAGGCCCAGATGCTTCTGTAATAGCCTGCTTTGGTCATTCTGGTGTGGGAAGGGTGGAGTGTGGGCTGTAAAGAATTTGACATTTATTTTTGTGTTATATTTCTTCCCCTTGCAATTGCCATGTACTCAATTTGTCTGCCTGTATTGACTTGTGTTACTTTTACACTCCTGCTCAAATTGTGCAAATGCACTGGACACTAAGTCGTAGCCATGCTGCATCATTAGTGTGACTATACTGTGACACATTAAAAAGAGATAAGCTAGTGACACGTTTCCCACTCTGTTTTAGGATACAAAACAGTATAAATCTATTAAATTGAACCTTAAAAACGTTCAGCAAAAATGTAGATAATTATAATAATAATCAGGTAATCAGTGTCCTTTGTAAACTGTTCAGGTAATCCACATTGTCAGTGCTTCCTGACCTGGGGAACACCATTTGTTACATGAAACATGAACCGACAGAGAAAAACATTTTTATTTAGAATTCCTGCAATTGAAAGGACTAGTGTCACTTTGCAACTTAAATAGTAGTAACACTATGTCTCAAAAACAGAAGGGATGGATGACAGTAAATGATTAAAAAGCAACAGTGTGTCAGCAATGCAACAGGATTATGTCCAGTGTCACACTTGGATCTATCTTCATGTACTGTGAACATGACAATAAATACAGTAACCTTCATGACATCATAATCTAACTAATGTTAATTGGTCATATGTCTAAAGTGTTAAACATGATATTGTTCTTCAGTGACTTGATCAGTTAGTGCAGAACTGTTGCATCTAACTTGGGGACAGGAGGATAATATCAATAAGAGCAAGATAAAATAGTGTGTTCCAGTCGAGAAAACTTGAGTTACAGCTTATAGTGCTGCAAATAAAGGTTGATACTGGGAGTGGAAGAACATATTTGTTTCTATGATGTATTGATATATTAATTAATTTCTATTTCATTTAATATTCTTAACTATTTAGCACATGAGATAAGTCAAACATTTTCATTTCTTTGATGAGTGGTTTAAGAAATAGGAATAGACATTTTGGGACCAAAAACATTGTTGTTGTTATTTATTTTTGCCAGGCTATGTACCAGGAGCACTTGAGATATAATGTCTTAGTTAGTGAGTTGTGTCCGTCTTTGCCTTACATAGTTAAAAAGAACAGCCAGTCTGCGGCAGTGTGTCCGGGTGGAGGGGCTTCGGAGAGCCTGGTTTGGGGGGGGGGTTAGTGGTGGTTGTTGAAGTGGTAGGGCTCGTGGCGGTAGTGGCTGTGGCTGATGACGGGATGCTCGATGCCTTCGCTCTGCAGCTCCTCCTGCTTGTGAACTCCCTCCAGCTTCACCACCAAATCCCTGATGAAGGCCTGAGGGGAACAGCGTCACAGGAAGTAGAGAGGGATTCATGTTCTACAATTAAAGAGTTCCAATGGGTCTTTTAAATCTGTCAATACGACCCCTATATGTTATTTGTTCATAAGTATAATGTCTGCTGTCACTAATGTAAAGTCAAGTATATTCAATATGATTCATGATCCCTGATGATCCAGTATCCATGTTAAAAAGGCCCTGTTGTATTTTGGGGGTTTTCCCTTTCCTGTAGTGTAATGTATATAGGCGTGCATGTGAATGTTCTGCAAAGGCTAAATTCCCAAAGTTCCCTCCAGAAGGAGTTTCTCTCCCCTCCCTGCCTGCCTGAAACGAAACCCGTTCCTTTAACATTCAGCAGTAATGGCTAATGATTCCTTCCTTTCTGTATAATTCAACCTATTTGTATCCAGGACAAGGCAGTAGGACAAGATAAATAAGGGCCTGTTTCTCTGCTCGATTTAGCACTGCTAAACTAAACACATCTGCGTATTCCCTTCTTCAGCACTAGCTTCAATTAAAACATTGCTGATTGCCACATACACATGGTGATATGGTCTGTGAGCATAATAGCATAATTGCAGCATAACAAATAGGATGTGTAAGATCTGAGCCTGTCTCGAGAGACATTAAACAGTTTTGCTACATCTATGCTACCAACATATTATGGTCCCACAGTGTGACATATGTACATACAACAAAACAAAAAGGGCCTAGATAAACGGGGTATACCATTGGTGCTGAATGAGGGAAGGTTGTGTGTGTGTGTGTGTGTGTGTGTGTGTGTGTGTGTGTGTGTGTGTGTGTGTGTGTGTGTGTGTGTGTGTGTGAGTGTGGGGGGGGTTAAAGTCCAGGACCATTTGGGGCAGGGGGAAAGGTGGGAGGCAGGGTGGAGAGTTCAGGGGATCAGATTTCCCCCTTTAAATTTGACTTATTTTTGTTGCACATTAAATAAAATAATAGTATTATTAACGTCAACCGTCAAAGACCAACGTTCTTTGGCCAAACTCAAGTTTTTACTGCATGTTTCTAATTCATTTTGACCTATAGTGACCAGTTTTCTCCACAGCTCTTCCTCAGTCCAGTATCCGTGCTGTGTTTTTTTTCTCCCGCACGCAGACATTATTAACTGTATCCGTGCCAGTAGATTTCTCATCACTGATTGACTCCATAGAGAGGAATGCTTCAACATTTGAAAAGGCCACATTGAAAGCATTTTTATGAAACACGGCATGAGTGACTGCATGACTAAAACACAGACATTCCCAGATATGCCGGACTCTGGCCAACGTCCCCGGAAACATTGGCTTGTGGTTTTGGGCTCAGACCCCCCACAGAGACCCATCATCATCTTGGACATACAGTACAGGAAGTAGTGATGAAAACCACCATGTCCATCATTTCTTTGTTTCATGTGCCAGTGTTGTGAAAAAAACTCTGTTCTCATGCCTATCATATTTTATAGACCCTCGCTTATATACAGTATATCAGTTCAACATTTTTCCATGTGTTCTAACAGATGTCTGGTTGTTCTCTGCCTGGAAGAATTAAGTGGCAAACTGCACAAAACACCATAAGTTTCTCCTTAGATATGACACCTAATTTGTTGGAAACACCTATTTTTACAACATTTTAGTCCACCATCTAATTTATATGAATACTTCCATTTAAATTCTGCTCGTTTAAATGTATTTTCTTTAATAGCTGCCATGCTATGTGACCCTGTGACTCCAAATCCATGCAGCATTGTATTGCTACTCTGGAGAAGTATAGGAAATACCTCTTTTTATTGGACTTTTTCTGCTTTATTTTAAAGGTCCCATGTCATGGCCATTTCTACTGATCATATTTCCATTGTTGAGGTCTACTAGAATAGATTTAAATTGTGCAATCTTCCAAACTCACATTGGTTTCTCATACAGCATCTCTGTATCAGGGACGTGCACAGACATTTGGAGGGGCTATTGCTCTAAACTGGAAAAAGGGCCTCCCCCCGTAAAACAACATAAGACCTTTAGAAAATTGTAACTTGTTTTTAATGTAAAAGAAACCAAACGTTATTACATAAACTGAATTGAACAGTAATTCACATCTCATAACAAAATAAGCTGAGGTGACTACTTGCATTCAGTGACTTGATTTAAAAAATGAAAACCAGGGACATTTTTTGTTTTGCGGTCCATATCCTAATGTTAGTAACTATTGAAGACAAAATGGGGACAATTCTGTTCTAATGTAGTTTGACC